CCTATCCCCTCTGTTGCCTTCGGTCAGTCTCTAGCACGGTAAACTATTTAACTTTTAAGTCTACCACTTTCTACGAGACTTCCCTGCATTACGCCTGCAATCAAGAATGATTTCCTGTATCCATTAATCAGTACATCATATTTTCAAATGCCAACTTGCTGATCAAGATCCTAAAGTTATTCTATTTACAATTATATAAAAAAAGCTGAAATGTATTTGATATAAGAAGCTGGAAAAAGCCTTTTCGCTTGATGAATACTGTAGCTTAAATAAGCTGTTTCAGTATTTTGTTCAATATTGATATTTAATAGCAGATACGAGAATGATATCAATCTTTTGGTCTGAGTCTCAGAAATAACCCACACAATTCAAAGTATTTGTAATGATTAGTCAGTGATCACAACTGTTAATAAGTATTTTCTGTCAATTAATTTACTATAATCACTTCAGCATTATCCTGCATCATTATAAACACTGATGCAAAATGCTTGCATAAGATATATCTCCAAGTTTATATCAATTCAATGTACACAATAAAAGGGTGTTTATAAAGTGCTTAGTCTGCAGAAAAGTTCTGTGGCAAAGTTTGCATCATAAAATGATAGTGGTTTTTTTATCACATTTCTAAGGGCTGCTATCAAATGACAGTAACTTCATTTTATTGTATCATAAAAATGTTGTTTATTTTGAATCGTTACAGGTCTGGAAACATTCAGCCAGTTGGTGTATGAAGATGAAAATGGAGCCGTAAGTTAAGAAATAAATTGTTTTAACTTTAATGTTTTTATTCATATATTTAGGATCAAAGGTCAACTGTATGTGTGACAGGTTTCTAACTCAGACTGATTTTCACTTTGCATCTTTCAGAAAAGCATCAATTCAACAGCCATCAGTGACTTCCCCAGATTTGCTCACAGAGGCATCTTACTGGACAGCTCTCGGCATTTCCTGCCCATTAAAGTCCTCTTGGCTAATCTGGTACGCCCCCAACACCTTCTTTATTATGTTTTCTCATTTTAAATTGTATTCACAGCTTGAATAAAATATTTTCCTTGTGTCCATTCATACAGGAAACAATGGCCATGAACAAATTCAATGTTTTCCACTGGCACATCGTGGACGACCCATCCTTCCCTTACCTGAGCCGAACGTTCCCGCAGCTGAGTCAGCAGGTCAGACTGGTTATCTGATCAATCCCAGCACAGACAAGTAGAGTTTCAGTGCTTGTGCTCTGATGTCCTTAGAGGACAAAATGTCAGTGTTAAAAAAAACTGTCACCAAAATGATGTTAATATTATTTTGCTCTTTTGTCTACAAATCGATTAAATTATAAAAACACAGAAAAATATTAATTATCCGAAAGCTAAATGATATATACATTTCTAGTCTGGGATATGTCAGTGATTAGAAAGAACATGTGTTGATAGTTGTATGTTTTTGTGCAAGAAATCCAGGAAATTGGCATGTATTTGGATCCAAAACACAAGAATCCAGGGACATGAGACTGAAGACCTGTCATAATACAACATATAAGAACAAATGACTTGATCTGTAATGTCCTTGTGTTTTAATGGGTTTCAATTGGGACATTTTGGTCCATTAGGGGTATTTCAGTTTCAGTTTATAATAGACCTGTTATAAGAGCTGAGGTTGTTCTTCCAAAATTCGTGATTGGAAATAAAAATCTCACACCCTTGACAAAATGACAGCCAAACTGATCGAAGAATTGGAAAGCCAATTGAATCCCTTGTGTCGTACAAGTTTTAAGATGGAGACATTGTTTGACTCCCAGTTTGATTACACTGTTCGCAGGGCGCCTACCACCCGTACACACATGTGTACACACCCGCCGACGTGAAGATGGTGATCGAGTTTGGACGTCTGCGAGGCATTCGTGTTATCCCAGAGTTTGACACACCCGGACACACACAGTCCTGGGGCAAAGGTGCGTTCAGCCAGTGTTAGTGGAGAGAGAGTTTATTTTGTTACCCTCTTAAGTCCAATGGTATGTTTTGCTCCCAATCCTTGTCGCATTTTATACAGTCAGTAAAATGTGACATTCAAAAACTGGAAGACTTTAGCAGAGCTCTGTCTGGAAACGATTAAACATGCTACAAATTCCTTGTGTTTTTCTCTCAGGGCAGAAAGACCTGCTCACCCCGTGTTACTCTGGCTCCAAACCCTCGGGCACCTTCGGCCCAGTGAACCCCATCCTGAACACCACCTATGACTTCATGAGCCAGTTCTTCAAGGAGATCAGCACCGTGTTCCCCGACGCCTACATCCACCTGGGGGGGGACGAGGTGGACTTCAGCTGCTGGTAAGACTGTCTGCACAAAGCCAAAATCACTTCTCCTCAGCATCGAGGATTAGACAGCAGGTCATATTTGGCTATATACTGTATGTTTTTCTCCTGCAGGAAGTCCAACCCGGACATTCAGAAGTTCATGGAGCAGCAAGGCTTCGGACAAGACTTCACCAAACTGGAATCCTTCTATATCCAAAAGTATGTTGATCATTGTATACTCGGTAAAATGTAGGTTCTACTCATTTATGACTTTCAATTTATTTTGTGCCTTTTATTGTTTTATAGACTCTTGGATATCGTGGCCACTACCCAGAAGGGCTACATGATCTGGCAGGAGGTCTTTGACAACGGTGTTAAGGTAACTAAAGAGTCATTTCCATGTTAGATATACTAATGTAATATAAGACTTTCTTTATAATTTTAATAATGTGAGTGTTTGTTTTCATTTTGTGTTTTTAAAGAGAAAGTTTGACATTTTTGGAAATACACTTCTTGGCTTTCCCGTTGGATTTAGGAGAAATAGATAGATGACACTCATGTCTCATAATATATTGCTGCTTGATTCAAAAGCTGAAGACTGATATTACTGAAATACCGGTTACTGGCGGCTACTATTTCTTTAATATAAAGTGAGGCGTAATATCCTTAAACTTACGCCCAAACTGCCAGCCAATCAGATTGCGCGTCTTGCAACGGCTTCGGTGATTGGCTTTCGTCTGAGCCTTTGAATGGTGGGGTCTGCAACACATCCAACCTATCAAAACATTTGCTACTGTCACATGAAATCAGAGTACAGGAATGTACAGTCTTCAAGCCTGTGTTGTCAAACGTGGTTTTTCATTGTTTGTTCAGTACTAAAAGGTCCAAGTCCCACAATTAATTGTAATATTCATTTGACATGTTAACTATATCATAAAGCACTTACATTGTTCCCTTATGCAACATGAAAGTATCACGATATGTATCGGTCTAGTATCTGTATCGTTGAGTGGTATCGGTATTGTAAAAAGTCAACGATATGCATCCCTAGGTAGATTTCTAAAATAACAAAACCCACCTACCGGCTCTTATAAGTGCCTTTTTTTTTGTACAGATTACACAAATAATATATAGGTTTATAGGTACTGTGAGGCAGATTGTGTTACACTCGGGTAAAGGCTTGGCTGACTGGCTGTTTCCCATTGTTTCCATTCTTTATGCTAAGCTAAGCTAATTGGCCTCTTGTGGTTTCTTCAGATTTTACATAAAATGTTATCAATCTAATCACCAAAGTCCCAGCTAGAAAGAAAATAAACAAACGTATTTCCTTAAATGTCTAACTATTTGTAACCAACGGCAACAGGTCATGTAGTATGTAACCTAAGTACCGTAGCTTGGTCTGTAACTATTGCAGTTAAAGGCAGACACAGTAGTGCATGTGTGGATCGGCGGTGGAGCTAATGACGAGATGGCTAAAGTGACAGGAGCAGGATACACCACCATCCTCTCCGCCCCATGGTACCTAGATTACATTAGCTACGCACAGGACTGGCAGAAGTACTACAAGGTTGAGCCGCTCAACTTCAACGGTCAGTGTGCATCAAAATGACATTCTTTGTTGAATCAGTTTTGGTGGAGGGGGTTACGATTTGGGCATGGTTACTGGAGGCACAACCCAAATATGGATGTTGTTCAACAGGCTTACACTTGCACAGTTTTGTGACAGAGATAGTCAGAGACAGACGTTAAGGCGAGATGGAGCTTTTTGGTTGGTGGTTTTACAAGTAGTTCACCATCATGGAGGACCAAAAACACAAGGCACCAAGTCTTAAATGGCGTCCAAACAGAGTGCTGCACGAATGAGTTTGCAAAGCCTGGAAATAATAGTTTCATTTTGGTTGGATGCCATTGGATTTTTCCAAGGGAATCATGGCGAAGCTCAATTTTGAGTTTGGCCTTCCAAAATACTTCATCCCTTGCAGCGGTCTTTATAAAAAGGCTTGGACATCTCTCTATCTTGCTGATACTGATACTTGTATGTATGTGTGCTGTGTAGCTGAAACAAGACACACTTATCCACGTTTGGAAAGGAAACAAGCTGCAGTACCAGAGTGAGATGGCTAACATTACATCGTCAGGGTACCAGACCCTGCTGTCCACTCCCTGGTACCTGAACCGTATCTCCTACGGCCAAGACTGGACGGGCCATTACCAGGCCGACCCGCAGGACTTCCAGGGTTCGTCTGCATGATTCTTTTGCTTAGCAAGCCTCTAGCAATAACTGGTCTTGTGCAACATTGTGGCAAAGTCCTGTTTACTATAAAAGCAGTCATAAATTCAGTTGTATTGTCCTTCAGCTGGTCTGACTCAGATTGTAGAAGCTGTATTGCTTTGACCCTTGTCATTTTGTTTATCACTGCTGTGGAATTATGTGCAAGCCTGTTGAATAAACAGAGGGAAAATGTTTTAAAAGGGATATATTATGCTCATTTTCATATTTATACATGATTACATGTGAGAACATTTTAACATGCTTTAATGTTAGCAATTGTTTCTTTCATTCCCACTTCTGAAAATGTCATGTTTCCCCAAATTGGTTTGTAAGCAAAATATTTCCCATTTAATATTTGGATATCAAATGAGAGAACAGAACCATATCATTATTTTTTATTCTTTAGACTCCCTGGAAGTAGCTTCGGCTGCCTTTTCTCATTAAATATTTCATTTTCAAACAGGAACTGATGAACAAAAGAAGCTTGTGATTGGTGGAGAAGCCTGTTTGTGGGGGGAGTATGTAGACGCCACCAACCTCACACCCAGACTCTGGTATGATATTCAGTAAACAATTGTTATGTTTTTGAAACCATAACCCACTACAGGAGTGTACAGCGAGGTCTGATTTTGTTTTGCCTTGCGCCCCCCCCAGGCCTCGGGCCAGTGCTGTCGCAGAGCGCCTGTGGAGCGACAAGGGGGTGACGGACATCAACGACGCCTTCAACAGACTGTCTGTGCACCGCTGCCGCATGGTGGAGTGAGTATCTGAGGCATTAAACGATCAATAACATTCAGATCGTTTCAGAGCTCTCAAGCATGCATTTCACTCCATTCACACGCTCACACGCCACACCTTGTATTTCTCACGCAGAGATTTCTTTCCAGGGTACCGCCCACCAAGTTGCGCCGCAATTTTGTAAACCAAACTAGGCAACCCCCCGCGCCCCCGTGACATTCGTCTGATTACAGAGGACTTCATATGCCACTTAGCCACCCCCCCCCCCGTTGACATTCGCGGTACAGAGGCTTCATGGGAACTTTGAGGGGAGCCAAAAGTTGGAGTACCAAACACCGCTGCCAAAATCTCACTCAGAACTCTGTTCAAAACTTGAGAGCCCTGTAATTTCCTTTTTGAAAGAATCGGATGAGAGCAGACCAGACATTGAACTCTTTTCCTGTGGTTATTTGACAAGTAAAAGAACATTCAGATGACTGTTTGGGCACACTGTTCGGCTTTTTTACTGTGACCAGTAATGCATTAAAGCATGACTGGAAATAAGACATTATTTTATTTCAATTCTAATCTGTTACTTTGACATTCTTGCAGCAAGTCGGTGTTTATGAAAGTTGGCCAGTTACGATTCTTGCAACTGCACACATAAAAATGGCCGCTCTGACAGCCCTGCTTTGTTGATCTGAACTCTCATTCCATACCTGCCAACCCTACCGATTTGGGCGGTAGTCTACCGCTTTTGACATGTTTCTACCGCCTACCGATTTAGCTGACTTCCCCTACCGATTTTCAATCTTCCTATACTTCCTAACTATAACAAATAAAAATGACACTACATTGACACTGGACTCGAGTTTTGGCGGACGCCGTTTGCAGCGTGTGTGATCCCATCGTACAAACAGTCCTCTGTGTTTCTGAGGACATGCAGCATGCTGATGGGTAATCACTCCCAAATGAGTTTAAGGGAACAGAGACGAGGCATTTTGAGTCCTGCAAGGTTTCCCCGTTAATATCAGTGTCTGGAAAACACATGTTGGCGACTGAAAGACATCCAGTGTTTGGTCTTTTCCTGAAGCATCCTTCACCTACAGTGTCTGAACTGAAAGAGGACCACAAACACACAACATGTGATACCATTTTGAGATTTGGGGATATTTATCTCCCATTCTTTCACTTTTGGACATTTTACAGACCAAACATATCGTTGATGTCACTGTTTACCAAACTACCACTTTTTCTGAAAAATACATAAAATTATGCAATATATGGTTTATACATGTAATTACTGGGGGTTCCATTCCTTCTGATTACCTCATTTGGGCGTGCACATTTGCACACGCAAACCTACCTCTTTTGGATTTTGAAAGTTTGGCATGTATGTCATTCTATGATTTCAGAATGTCATAAAAAGTAATTGTGTAGTTTGCCATAAAATAGTTTTTAATATAGCATGTCATAAAATAAATCCTAAAAAGCATTGTATAATAAAAGTGATGAAGTTCACAAAGGTGAATCAGAAGTACATATGTTTCCCATAGCAGTCTCTAAATGATTTATCTAATGGACACAATCCTTTTTAAAGAATGCTCATTTAATAAAAAACCTATTGACGCGTATCTTCTCCTATCTAAGGCGGGGGATCCCTGCTGAGCCGCTGTTTTCCAGCTACTGTCCCCGAGAGTACAGAGGTGTCTGAACAGAAACTGAGACTTGCCATGGGAACAGCAATCAACAATGTTTGTATTTCAAGCTGAAGAATCATGCTGCCTTTTTAGAGATCTCACTGTCCTGACGCTTAGACACATCATGCTTCTTAAATCTGCTCTACAGAACTCTTGATCATCACATGTCATAAACATCTTGAATTTATGATTGCACTCTATGTTTTTTATGAATGTTTGTATAAAAGATTGTGAATAAAATGTTGACATTTTAAGTGAGTCTTGTTTCATATGAAAAAAGGAAGGAGAAAAAAATGCTATGAAATACTGTTTCTGTAAATGTATTTAGCATCCAGCTAACAACATGGAACATAATTACACCAATAGTTTCACACTCTTTCCTGCAGGGGGAATCCCCACAATAAATTACATTAGAATGATTTTTTGTTGTTGTAAATCCTGGCCAATATATATGTGCCTCTGTTTCACACAGCCTTTGGTCCCGTTGGTGAAGAGGTGTTATTGTTGAGATCACAGCAGACCAGACACTCTCTTCAGGAGGGAGTTCTGGTCCTGGGGGTTCATCGCCTCGTAGGTGTCCAGCTCTAATGTGAAGGTGGCGTTGCCGGAGGTCACTGTTCGCAAGGTGGTGGAATAGCCCTTAAAAAAGAAATATAAAAGTAAAGAGTCAGGCTTGGGGAGTACCAGATGTTCAGAGCCAGAAGTAGGATACCATTAAATGTATTTCAAATGTTACAGAAACCAATACATTTAGTAAGCAGGATTACCATTATTAAAAAGTCTCACACATTGACCTCATTAAATTAACATGGGATCACACATGTTCCATTTTATGTATATATTTGCCAGTTTTACAAGACTTAAATAAATGTAGATTATACAGGACAAACTGGGAATTTAGCATGTTGGTTGTGATTTACTGTACAGTGGTATTACTGCTGTAAAAACAAAATTGAAAACACTAATATCATTTTGTCATTAGAGGATAACAGGATTTCCACAAATGGCTGCTCTGTACTGTGAGGTTGTTCCCCTTGTGTTTCTTTATTTGTCTGTGGGACCGTGATATTGTATCTTTCGGGAGGAATAGGATCGTTTTTATGTAAGTATACTGTATATATCTATCACTTAGCAGCTAAAAGGTACAGACAAATGTTGATGTTCACGTCGTCTCACCATCATCTCAGCCAGAGGCACAGTGGCGAGCAGCACTTTGTCGTCATGGCGACTCTGGATGTCTCGGACGGTCCCTCGCCGTTGTGCTAGATCCCCCAGAACAGAGCTCAGGCGCTCCTCCTCCACGGTCACCTCCAGGGACATCACCGGCTCCAGAACCTGACCTCCTGCCAGCCTGAGAGCCTGAGGCACGGGAACAGAACGAGTCATCAAGGTCCTGATGTTCACAGGTATTACATGGAGCGACACACTGGAAACACTGCACTACAGGTACGACCAGCATTTCAAATCTCACTAAGGTGAATATATGGAAGACAAATCATAAAATTCTACATTTACTATTATATTTGAGGTTTTTGGATTAGATTTCTACTACAAAAGTGCATGTTGCATTTTGCCACTGCGTGTTAACAGCTGAGCTATTTTTACTGTCAATAAATCTTAATTTAAAACCTGATATCTTTAAAGCATTGTCTCGTGGGCTGAGTAAATCTCAACTGTCAATGAGCCCTGTTTTCAGCTTTGTGCATTTGCCAGCTCATCCAAGAGGGTTTAAGATAATAAATGTAGTTACGGGTAATTCATTTGAATTAAGGGTTTAAGGTTTAAGATTTTTAATTAGCTTATACATCAGAAGAATTTTCTCATCACATATAGGAACATTTAATCCTTCAGTTTATCCTAGAAATTCTAATTCTGTAATTCATGTTATTGTTATAGAAAATGTAATTAACTTAATCTACCAGATCATTCATGGAGTAAAAACTACAATATTTAAAGTATAAGTATCTCAACAGTTTACTAGACGACAGTGCTTGTGTAAATGAAGTTTGTTCCATCCCTCCCTGCCGATGAATACCTTGTGCACGCAGCGGGACACACAGGCGGACACCATGGCAGGGGACGTTCCCGGCTCACTGTGGACACTTTGGATCAGTGCAGACACGCCCTGTAAAGGATAACCTAGCAGAGGACCTGGAGGGGGAAGCAGGGATTGTAAATAAGTCATATTCATTCCTTCTGAAAGGGACGGACACTGCAGGAGAGATGAGATGTGTTCCATGGCACCTTGCAGATATGCGCTCTGTACTCCATTCTCCACGGCCTCCTTTATTTCAGCAGATAGCTTGGCCCCCAGTTCTTCTGTGAAAGCGAATTCACATGAGGAGGAGTCCAGAGGGGTGACGGCCAGCTCCACGGTAACAACATGTCGCCTCTCCCCGATAGTACGATCCAGCGTTTCTGTGTTTAGAGATGAGCAGGGAATTCATACAAAGATCCTTATTGGGAAAAGTACAGTATGAATCTGTCAGGAGTTATGTACTCTCCTCAAATCAGCTAATGAAGCCATTATCAATCATGCTCTTTTTTTCATATTTCTGGACATACTGTACTATGATTTTTTAGACATATTACTATGGCTTTTATTAAGATTTTTTTGACCTGCTATAATTTCTTGTTTGTTTATTAAAATACATCGACATGCTATGTCGTATTTGATGATATATTTGACATACTATATACAGTAACTAACTTCCTTGATATTTTTGACATACCGTGTCGTTTTATTTTGCCATTGTGACTATTATCACAATTATTAGTTTTTTGTTGGTAAAGTTTAGGGTTTGATTGTTGAGGAATCTTTTGCCTTGTTGTTTTGGCATTTCTTACGTACAAAGTAAAGTCATTTCTATATTTTAAATATATTAAAATGTAATCTTTTTCATATTTTTGACATACTTTCCTATCGACTATACTATGTCTTTTTTCAAAAATGTTTGACATACTACAGTATACTTGTTGTTTTTAATTATATTTACGACAATGTCGTTTTTTTCTGATATTTTTTACATACTATGAAAATGGTCAGCTATTTTTAATTAACAATTTGGTAATACTTAACAGTAGCTATTCAATTGAATTGATTATTGATAATGGTGCAAATGGATTGTTGGTAAATATCATAAAAAGTAAGATGATTTAAGTTGACATTAATGTCCTCCAGTTTCCTCTCTAAGAGCATCATAGCAACACCTCCCCTCCTGATGTTTTTTGCATATTTTCAATACACTATCCAATGCCTTTAAAACGTGCTTGTGTCTAACTGTTCAATGACAAAGCATGCATTTCAAACACACTTTTGTAAAGATGAAGATGTGCAAGGCTTGTTACGTGTTGCCCTGTGTGACAGCCCCTTTGTACCTGTGGTTGAGACCTCGTGGAGGATGGACTCTCTGTAGGCCACCTGCAGCGGCCCGAGGTGAGTCTCAATGCCGTACTCTCTTCTAATTCGATCATGGATGATCTCGATGTGCAGCTCTCCCATCCCACACAAAATAGTCTGAGGATGGAGACAATACGTTTACTAATTGTGGAAGATGCTCTCCACAGTACGTGAGGTTTAGGTTAGATATTGGACAGACAAGTTCACACGTATATCCGTCAATATCCAACCTTACTTTTAGGTTAGATATTCAACAGATATCGGTAGAAGCTGAGTGCTAATCCAGTGATTGCATTACCTGTCCAGAGTCCGGGTCCACCCTGACTTTAAGGCTAGGGTCCTCTCTCTGGAGGTTATTCAGTGCATTCTCAAGATCTTACAGGGGGGGGGGAAACAAAGGAGGGTATTGATAACTGAATAATATGAATTGGTTATCATTAAAGCTTGATTGAACAGAGATCATCTTTTAACCAGTGTCTCGTACCAGCCTGTTTAGCCATGGTGGGCGGCTCGATGGTGCAGAAGAAGACGGGTTCAGGGACCTCCACCCCTGAAAGCACCACGCTGTCGTGTTCCCCGCGCTTCGCCCCTGTCCCGCTGTCACTATGGGCCCGGCGGGCGGCGGCAGCGGCTGCTGAAGACTTGGAAGAGACGATGGTGTCCCCGGTGACTGTCTGAAGTGAAAGTGGAAACATCAATTATTGTATTAAAGAGGAAAATCTTCAAAATAGCAAATAAAGATTATAATGTTGTAAAAATGTCTACCTGCTTCAGTCCTACAGTCAGAGCGATGTTTCCCGCCGTCATGGAGGGGATCTCTACATTCTGATCAGCAAAAGGCACCATCAGCCGGCTAACCCTCTCACTATGAAAGGAAGGCAAACAGTTGTTATGGTCATCTTTGTTTTGATATTCATTCTAACTCTTCCTTGAACATTCCATCTCGAGTATTTTTGTTTGGGAAGTGTATTATTTTCTTTCTTCTTGATATTGAAATCAAATGTGTATCTAATGTCTGTGTATATTCTTATGTCATTACTTCTTTCCTGTGTAGTTTCATCATATGTACAAATATAGAACTAGTCCACATTTGAACATATTATGATTGAAAGTGCAGTACATACACGCTGTTCCTGTTGATGTTGTGGACAGCAGACTGTGGTTTCAGAGTACCAGAGTAAATCCTCAGAAACACCAGAGGGCCGCGCTGCTTATCATGGACAACTTTGAAGGCCAGAGCACATAGGTCGTCGTTGTACCACCGCCTGCAGAGGATATAGACAATAATCGGAAAATGATGTAAAAAACATGGAATATTCATTAAAAGGATAATTCCACTATTATTAGATTTTTTTGTAATTTATTTAATTATTTTGTGCAATGTTCTACACAGCTGTTACCTTATAATGAGTCAGTTTGGATGAGAAGTTGTGTTAAAGATCACTTACTTTAGCCTTGTTTTCAAATTAACTATTAAAAATGCTTATGAGAAATGTACATGTTAATCATCACTCACTTTCATTTGTGTATTTGACTCTCAAAATAAAACTTCCCTGACAACAGATGTCTCTTTGTTTCAATTGAATGAAACTCAGAAACAGTCAATATGATTCAATTAAAGCAAAACCGAAGCCTGCCTTTACCTCGTTGCAGCTCAGGACCATCACTTTTTGTGATAGCTGTGGAAGTGTTAACTTAATAGTCATTTTGTCAAAAATAAAAATGCACCAAGAGGAAAAAAGGCAAAGAATAATGTGTGTTAGAAAGCAGAACTGGGACACCAATAATGCTGGGATGGTCCTTTATGACAAGATTGTAGGTCTGAGTTAGTGAAAGGTTAAAGGGTGCACTCAC